AATAAATAACACAAAGAAAGAATAATCAGACTGAGAACAAATTGTCCTAAGCATGACCATCATTCACAGACAAGTTCATCCCCATCTCATCCGTCACATGGTCAGAATCGGTTCAGCCGGTCAATCATTCATTGGTTGCTTCTGTCAGTAATTTCACACAAAATGCATATATAAATGCAATAAGCAGATTTTTGTTCCATCCTTAAACTGAATAATGTAATAACTTGGTGTCAGAGATGGCTAAAGTACACCAGTTTGATCAATTCAGCTGTCCAGTGATTTAGAGCGCCTCTTTACGCTTCATAATCAATAATGTTTGACTGGTTAGGGGTAACGAAGGACAAAATGGGACTGTGCTATAACGGCAAAAGGCAACATTACCTCATAATCTAAAAACAGAAGTCAGTATGGAATATAAATAGCTCTTCCTAAAGCTGTCATTAGGTTACATAAACCACAATATCCTATTTTGCTTCAAGTCCAATGTGTCACGACACCATTAGCCTTTAAAGATATTATGCTTTGATCAAAGAGAAATTATGAGCAACGGCCTCGGTGAATTGGACTGACACGAGAGGATTCGTTTTCAAACAGAGGTTGAGAGGTCAAGAAACTTACAGCTGAACAGGAAAAGGCAACACCGACCAGACAGCATGGAAAAGCACTCAAAGTTGAGAGAAATAGAAATTGGTGCTTTTTTTGTTCAGCTATAATGACAGCTAGAGCATTGATGCTAGCAAATAGCATTATTTGTGGTTGTAGTGTGAATACTAACAAGCCACTTTTGTGACACACTATGTAAGGCATCAATGCTGTTTATAGTATAATGTTACAGTGTATGATCAATTAATGCAGATGCTAATACTTTCGGAGCTCATACTGTTAAAGTTTGAGAGTGAAACTCTGCTAATGTTCTGATCAATTGAACCAATTAGTCGTACAATGATACAATGGAACAGAATAACAATTGTGAGCTTCATCTTTCCTCTCTCACAATAATAGTGATTTCTAAAAAAATAAAAAAAAATACAAAGTGTTTTAAATAAATGTGATGATAATGATTTGGAAAACTGCAATACACTGTGTGTCAAAAATAGAAGTAGTGTGGCTATGATAGCTGCTACACACATCCAGCAGAATCATTAATGTACTAAAGCACACGATAATAGCTACATAAAGACGTGACTGGAGAAGTTTATGACTGATATCGCTACATTAAAAGGAAGGAAGTCTAGTAATGGCTAATTACACCCAAACAGCAATTCGAGAAGATGGCTTGGAAATATTTAACTTTGCTTCCTGTAAATCCTGTAAGTCTTTAAATCACAGACAGTTTCTACTCTTATTTGCAAGTATTCTGACAGTTTCAATATCTTAAATGTAGGAATATGTAAGAATTTTGTAACAATATATCCCCAAATCACTTGCACAGTGTGATATATTTGTGTTGTGTACTTACAATATCCCCAAAAGTCTCTTTTTTTATTAATATTATTTCAGACAAATTCCAATTTTAAATAACTGTAAAAAAAAAAAAATTCGTCTGTCAATGACGCAATATCCGCGCAATCCTCGGTTTCCGTTCATACTGCTATAACCATGACGTAACCATGGGGACAGACGCATAGTGCGTAATGTTTAGTGGCACGCAGTTCTTGTTTCTTTCAAACATAGACCATGGCAAGCAGACTTTGGGACAAACAAGGAGAACTAAAATGAGGATCAATATCAGCGTGGCGTTTTTGAGATGCCGAGAGCTCCACGTCCGCGATTAACTTGGACTTGTTTCACGAGTCACGACTTGACAGCTTTATTAGACAGGTGAGCAAATGCACATGAAACAAATCAATGTTATATAACGTTAGCTCAACATGGTGAAACGTTAGAATATGGTCAATAATGTTGATCTAGCTTACTGCTAGTTTTGTATAGCAAACAAACTAACACGCAGTAACATTATAACTTTCAACACACATTTAAAAAAACATGAATGTTTGCACTCATCCATAAACATTATTAGATCCATCAGCTTGGCAGCAAGTCCCATCATTCAGCTCATCACTGCGTCATCAATCTACGCCTTTGTCATTGTTGGAAACTGCGCCCTCTTGTGGCTAAAAAAAATCATACATATTGTGCTTTTTACACACATTGACATTAATTTAATATTTTTAATTAATTACAGCAGACTATTTAAGCATTTATGTTACCTGACAAAATGTATTTTAAATGTATGTATTTATGTTGGTAACCTCTAATGATAATATGTCATGTGAGGCAGTTTGTAAAGAGAACTCGTGCCTCCTCCCTAGGGACAAACACTTATTAACACTTGTAACAATAAGTAACAAATAGGATAACTATCCTATGGGGTAGGATAATTATGTCTGCAGGATATAATCGGATAACTATCCTATGTCTGCAGGCTGATGGTCATGTTTGTCACTTCTGGTGAAAGTGTCTTGCCTCAGGCTATAATGCAAATCGATTTTTCATCTATACTATGGTAGCTTGATATTATAATATTGACGACATGGCTATTATATACCAACAAACATTGAATTGAATTAGCATATCCATTATGTAAAACAGTAGCCAACAGGCTAACATTACTATAAAGACGCTAGCTTGTAAACGTGAGCTATGCGATCTTTTGACGTTTGAAAAAAAATAAAGCCCATGACAATATATTCATAAGACATTCTGAAATATATGCCTGGGATGAAGACATTTCACACGCGACACTGGAGTCTGCCCAAGATGTGAGAACTCCTTCCTTCTGCAGAGTTCGGGGGTATCGCTTGTCAACAAATGCACGCGTGTATTCCCTAGTGTAGCCATGACAGATTTTACGACAGTAGTAGAAGACAATACTGCTTCCCAACTGTAGGGGGAGCCCGAGAGCAAAATTTCAAAAAGAACAGAATGCTGCTTTAAAATCTGCTTCAGTTGTTGAAAAGTCTGTAAGTGTGTTTAGTTCAGTCTTAGAATGTTCCAGTGTGTCCCTGTCATTAGTAGCGCCCCCCATGCTTCGATTGAAGAGGTTTGTTAACGATTAATCAATCGTTAATTACAATGATCGATTATGGGAATTAAATTGACAGCTTTAGTATATACAATCTGTAACAATGTTTACTTTTTATTTAATAATTTTTTTTTTTTAAAGCACAATAAACTTCTAACATTTGTCAAATAATTTCCAAGACAAATGTGAAGTAAAGGATAATCCATTGCCACTAAGGCGCTGAGAGGAGAATAAAATAACAGATTTCATTGCAACGTCACGCAGGCAAATATCGAGCAATTCAGGTAGGCTACGTAACATCTCCCTCAAGACACACACCTATCTCCCCCTGCCGCTGTCTTTCTTCCTCTCACCGCTTCACAGATTACACGAACACACTCACTCACGCACGCTCTCGCGAGTGAGATCCAGAGGACGTTGACAGTAATTCATGTTTTCAGAGCTCGTTCAACCAGATGTGAACTTTGTCGAGCGGCGCCCTGAGCATTTGCATAGCTCAAAGTTAAATGCGCTTGAAAACTTCTCCAACTCTTTGCGTCACAGCGAAAGTTAATGACTGGCAATCACACAAACAGTGCGTGCATGAGCGCCGCGCGCTGACGGACTGCAGCAGTAAATCCCCGCGCGCTCTCAGTCTCCGCGGCGACATCAGCCTGATAATGTGAACAATGAAGCGCACATTTTTGCCTAATCCCACCGCGATCAGTTGCACTAATCACCACGATTCATGAGCGACTAAACAGCAAATTGAAAACACATTCAAAAACCCCATTATATTTTTTCAATATATCGTCACAATAACAAGCACGGCGTTTTAGTAACGCACAGGTGTGCTGCCGCTGGTACAAGACCAAAAGTTCCGCGTCTCTATAACATAACGCATCATCAACTACAATACCACCTGTCGTTACAAGCTGGAGCAACTATAAAAACGTCATCAGCATCATAATTTTACTTAATAAGTTTCTGCAGCCCACCGTAGCATTTAAATACGAGTACAGTTTACACATTCAGTCAATTAAATGCAATCCTTGCGTTAATAGAATTAAAGCAATATTATACTTCCTGGCCTGGGAAGCTGTGTTTCCATAAGAAAATGAAGCAAAACATCTCCTGCAACGAGTCAATATTGTCCAGTCACTAAAAAACATGTGTCGGATCTGAATTCAATTTGACATTAAAAGAGCACAAAAATACCTTTTGTCTAGACTCAATGATCTGAAACCTGGGTCTCTGCGGTGCCAGTGTACGGTCTGCTGCAGCACGACTGACAATGTACGGTACAATCATTCTCCCGTTCTCCCAGCCAACAAGATCGTTAGGAAGATGACATCCCAACTTTGAGCAGACTTCAACAAAGTATGATCCCCCCCTCCCTTTCTATGTATCTGCATATTTGCAAACACTGGCCCCTTTTTTATTCGCACCTACCAAGGCAGATCCGAGCAGAGGGGAGGGCTTCCACTGTCCGAGCGCCCCTTCTCCAAGCCTGTCGTTGAGATTGACGGCAAAAAGAAGGGAGAAAAAGCTTATTCTTCACTTCCAGGAATCATGTAGCCTTCGACCGAGCCGTGCGCGTGAGGAAGAGAATAGAGAATTGTTGCTAAACGTACTTTCTGGGAAGCTGAGCGTGTGGGCTCACCAACCTTTCGATTCTCGCAATCCCACCTCTACATCCAGAAGAACATGCAAACACATTTCATAGATTTTTGGAGCTTCACATAAAAACCGAACTGGATTTTCCGCGACGCTGAGACGCTTAGGAAAACACACAGATTAACAAAGACATTTCGCGTTACGCAGCGCCTCTTTTTAGCGACGTTTTAAATGTCGACGCGTAACATGTAGGGTTTTTTTTCTCGATGTGCACGTGCATTGTGAAATATTTCAGGGTTAATGTTACGAGCGGAGAGTGTTGACGGCTCTGTCTCCCTTTGCACTGTGCAGCCTGTGATTTTTTTTTTTTTCTCTCTAGGAGCAAAAGTTGATATGTCGTCATACCGCTTTAAGACTGAACTTCACTTCAACACATTCATATTTACCATCAAACAATGTCAGAAGGATGCACGTGGTGGCTGCATGACTTTGTAATCCTACTATTTGATTTCATTTTGAGATTTGTTTTTGTATTACTCAATGCAATACATTAGTATGGAATAATAAAGAATAAGTTTCAATCATGTTTTGCACTTTTTGAAACTTTGTTATGCAAATAGATAATATGATATTAATATATATTTTGCATGAATTAAGATTTTTGGCCCTCGGAGCACATTTTTTATGCGATAGACTAGTTACAACTTGGCTGCCATTTTAATTTTAAGCATTGTGGGTCAATGTTGCCTACTTTTTGTCCAGATCTGAGGTTATTCACAAATCCTTTTTTTTTTCAAAAGTTAAAAAAAAGACTCTTAAATGATTCCGATATTTATAATTTGTGAAATAAAAGTCATTTTTTATGGTTTTGTAATTGTAAATAAAAGGCTATTTGAAAAATCTTAGTCGGACGTAATCTTTTAATTGTTGCCTATATTTCTTTAAATTAAGCATTGTTGCATTATTAATATTTTTTACCAGTCAATATGACATAACCAACATGCAAAAAGCAATTTTGTTGTCATGTGATGTAAATGTAATCATGACCCATCATGACTGTCAATGTCATTACATTTTTAAGCATAGACTTATTACATATTTAGATCAAATTGAGTTTAAATTGAGTTATTTTTTATCTAATATTTTAAATACATTATGGAAAGAAACATTTGTGTGTGTATATTAGGGCTCTCAAACAATTAATCGCATCCAAAATAAAAGTTTGTGTTTACATAATATATGTGGGTGCACTGTTATTTTATATATAGCTATATAAATACACACACAAGAAACATTTTCATGTATGTACCGTATGTAGATTTATATATAATTCATATTATAATATAACGAATAAGTATTTTAAATAATATTTTTTTCTTAAATATAGATGCATGTGTGTGTGTATTTATATATATATATATATATATATATATATATATATATATATATATATAATTATACACAGTGCACCCACATATATTATGTAAACACAAACTTTTATTTTGGATGCGATTAATCGCGATTTATCATTTGAGAGTATGTAATAGGCTATATATAGGCTATATATATATATATATATTATATTACTTTTATGTCAGATGCGATTAATGAGATTAATTTGACAGCAGTATAGGCTATACAAACTGTTTATGTTTAATGTACTTTTTATGGATTACACCACTTGACATTTTCATAGTTATTATTATTAAGGAATAATTTAAAATATTAAATAATTTTGTAGAAAGTGGTCTGAACTTTCCAAAAATTATTAACCCAACGTGTAGGCTATACAGAAATTGCATTTAAAAAAAACTGTTTAGAATTTTGAGAACTACACGTTTTGAAAATGATTTACTCTTTTTATACACTCGGAAAAGTTGTATTTAGCATTTATCCATTTAAGCGTAGAAATGAAATGCAAACATGAATAACATTTCATTCAATTTTTTTTAAGTGACGCAGAACACATTGAACCGCTATGAATTGTGTGGTCTACTCTGCTATGGTAAACAGGGGTCAGCTGTGGTCGTTCGGCTCCTGGTTTCCCTCAGTCCACTCCGCTTCTTTTGAATGTCCTGTCTGCTGGCAGGCGGCCAACCGAAGTGTGTGGAAATGACACCGCCAGGGCGGCAGAGATTTTCCTTCATTTCTCTCCTTCCCGATCGCAGACGGGCTGACATTGGCTAGAAAGTGGAGCAGCTCGTCAGGGACAATCAATGCGAATCGATCGAGCCGCGCGGGTTTGAGGCTCCGAGCTGGAAAATAACGCGCGTGCGAGTGAGAGAGAAAGAGAGAGAGCGCGCGAGCGAGAGGATGGGGAGGGGATGTGCTACCAATACTCACCTCTCTCACACACAAATATCGCCTTTACTAAAACCTTGGAAGTCACATCAAAGACAGTTTACTCCTGACGCAAGGATATGTTATCATATTCATCAACATTAAGAGGATATTGTTTTTCCCCCAGAGCGCTAGCCAAACGACACGCCACTATGTGGCTTGGCTGCAGGTTAATATTAGCATGAGTGCCAATACTTTAATATAAACACCATGGGGTCCAAGAGTCAGAAACCACTATTAAAGGCTTACATTTTTGCTTTTCTAAATATTTTTTTCTTCTTCTTGTTATCATATTCATAATTTTAGTGAAAGGATGAATTAAAACATAAACAATAAAATTCAGAATTTCTTAATATTTAATTTTAAGATGTCACCTATCAATTTAAAGAGGGCCCAATGTTATATTTTAGCCTATAATGATAGGATGTGTGACATCCTATCCTATAATTAATATAATATAATCCTATAATTTCACATGCTAGATTTCCTTTTTAGTTCACCATTAAATGGATAGTTCACTTTGAAATTAATTTTTGATATGTTTTAGCTTACATCAAGGGTAGGTGTCTTTGTTTCCACAGCATTTTCAATTTTGACATTTTTTGGTCAAACCGTTCTTGTCTGTCAGTCATATAATGGAGGTCTATGGAGCCCACCTCAAAGACCATCCACAGAGAAGTCAAAATTAAACATGATTTAATGACTTGTAAATTTAAGTACACATTGGATGGCCTAAGACACGAAACCAGCGGTTTGTGTGAGAAAACAAACAGTATTTATATAGTTTTTACCTCTTGTTAACAGCATAGACAGGTTAACAGCCGTCGAACTGATCTGAATCAGATGTCCAACTGAACCATCTCCAACTTGACGCCGGAAGTGATCGCGGGTACGTCATGCACTGAGATTTCGGAAGTTTTACCTTTCACTAAACATATTTAGATACATCGAACTCATCTTCCATTGCGATTTCCCGTATATATAAATGTTTAGTGAAAGGTAAAACTTCCGAAATCTCAGTGTAAACAATGCGGGACCTACATACGCACGCGATCACTTCCGGCGCCACGTTGAAGACGGTTCAGTTCGGTTCAGTTGGAAATCTGATTCATTTCAGAGCAGTTCGACGGCTGTTAATAAGAGGTAAACTATATAAATACTGTTCGTTTTCTCACACAAACCACTGGTTTTGTGTCTTAGGCCATCAATGTGTACTTACATTTACAAGTCATTAAATCATGTTTAATTTTGACTTCTCTGCATGCTCTTTGAGGTGGGCTCCATAGACCTGCATTATATGACTGACAGACAACAACGGTTTGACCAAAAAATGTCAAAATTGAAAATACTTTGGAAACAAAGACACCTACATCTTGGATGCCCTTGAGGTAAGCTAAAACATATCAAAAATTAATTTCAAAGTGAACTAGCATCCCTTTAAGAGTCCAAACTTTATTTCTCCGTGTGTATAAATACATCCCTAATTCATACAGAAAACAACATGAAATTGAGGTAAAAGAAGTAACACATTTAACCATGCACGGAAACATGAATACAAAATAAAAACAACCTAACATAATATTAACACATTTTTTATTGATTTGTTTTAGTGGCGCATCATATTCATGCTCCTTTAATAGTTAGTTCAAACCTATGACAATTTTATGACCTTACTATGAAGACTATAAAGCTTATGTAATTTTCCACTTCATGCATTTCAGGGTAATTTTTTTTTTAAAGCCTATGTGAGATTATCAAATAATCTCTCCAATAATAAGGGCGTTCAGTTTTGATTATGTGGTCTCACAGGGGCTCGGCAAAAAAGTTTTTATTTTCACTCATATACAGACAATAATCTCTCATTTGACTTTACGTCCCAATCCCTTAAAGGGATAGTTCACCTAAAAATGAAAATTCTGTCATTTATTCACCCTTAAGTTGCTCCAAACCTTTCTTTTGTGTTAAGAAAGAAATGAATACAGGTTTGGAACGACCAAACATGGTGGACACCAGGTTTAATCTTGTCTATTTATTGGGAAAATCTAAATGATATTTTGCATCCTATCCATTGACAGCCATAAACACTCAAGCATCAAAATGATCCCAGAATTGTACTGTAAATACTATACTTCAGAGGGTTCATGTCCAATTTTTGACTAGGAAACTTGCATTTAAGTAAAGGTAGCATAATGTCAAAGTGTTCTGGCAATATATTCTTTCACAATGCATGTATTTCAGTCAGTGCAGTAACACAACTGCATTAATATTATCACCATGATAAACAGCTTGAATTTACTACTGCAGTAGAGATACCCAATGTCTTTGGGTAACATTTAAAAACATCTTGGTATAGTAACACACTGGTAATGCCATAGCAACTGTGTGGTGATGCCATGGTAACGTTGGCAAAATCTCCTTTGCCAAGAAAAAAAGAACAAAAATGAAAACGTGCTGGTAAATCAATAATGATTATGGGAACTGTCTGACACAGTGGTGGAATAGGCTATATAACCTTATAACGTAACTGTGTGAACAGCAATAGCTCTGTGAAATGCTAAAATGTAATTAACCAAAATATGAATGTTAATAATTAATGTCTCATTTAGCTATTGTGTTCATAATATAAGCTGTTGCTAAGCAAAAAGTTTGCGCTATACGAAACTTAGCTGTCAATATAGAACATCAACAATACAGATTCTTCTCAGTTCAGAAAAAAATATCTAGCATGTACAGGGGCCACTGTTTTCTAATCCAGGTTTGGGCTGCGTAACACGGGTTGTCTAAGTTTGACAATTAGCTTTTGTTTCACTGCTGACATATTTTCGTGGTCGTGGGCTGACACGCACGGGTTTCGTCAGAGAGATAAGCGCACAATGGACGCATCCAGTCCCTCACTGACGGGCTGGCGTGAATAAATTGGACACGCATTGCTTCGTAATCCCCTGAGTGTCTCTATGGCTCTGGCAAAGTGCCTGGCCTCACCGTATCTTACATTAAGCAGACGTCAATCCGTTCGTCCTCCTTTCGCTTTTGAAAATCACTTCCATGTCGAAGTGCCTGACCGCTTTCTGTGCCTGGACTTCGCCAGCTCTCAAGTCCTCCAGAAGAAACAGGTCCAAAAGAGGGGGTAGGGTTAGAAAATACTGTCCGAGAGTCTGGTGACTGAAACTGATTGTAACGACAACGTATATACTCATCCATTGCGTTCATGATTTTATAGGCCGTGTTCATTGGT